AGCATGACAACCACACGCCCACCAAAGCCTGGCTTCTTTCTTTATGTTCTAAAATAAATCTGTAGGCAGGACTCGGAAGTCAATGAGGGACATGTATAAATTATGAATTGTCACAGATCATGGAATGGTTTGGGTTGGAAGGGACCTTAAAGATCATCCAGTCCCAACCCCCCTGCCATGGGCAGGGACACCTTCCACTAGCCCAGGTTGCCCCAAGCCTCATCCAGCCTGGCCTTGGACACTCCCAGGGATGGGGCATCCCCAGCTTCTCTGGGCAACCTGTCCCAGTGCCTCCCCACCCTCTCTGGGAAGAATTTCTTCCTGATGTCCAACCTCAATCTCCCTCTTCCAGTTTAAACCCGTTACCCCTTGTCCTGTCACTTGGGGCCCTTGGAAAAAGTCCCCCCCAGCTTTCTTGTAGCCCCCCCCAGGCACTGGAAGGTGCTATAAGGTCTATAATAGCATTAATGTTTCGTTGGTTTTGTTGTGGGTTGATTTATATCCTGAGAAATCCTCCACTTTTTTTTTTCTCTGCTGTTTGTTTTGTTTTTACCTAAAATGCAGTCTCACCTGGCCCTGCTCTGTTTGTCGGTGTTTTAAATTAGTTGCATGCTATAATTGCACAATTGACAAGCAGGAAGACCAGCGTGGGAGCCAATCGTCTGGTTGTATGACTCGAATTTTGTTGTAGTGAATGGAAAGAAAATGGCAAATTTACTGCCTTTTTCACTTCATTTAAAAATAGTTATTTCCATTTCTTGTGTTATTTCCATTCACCGTGCTTTGTTTTGGTTTATTCGCTCTCTCACACAATGAACTGTAATGTCTCTACTTTCTTCCTCACAAACGTTTTCCGTGGTTCCTGGGGGAGTTTGTTGACTTGAGTAGTTGCATGGCTGCTTCTCTGATCTGGGTTGTGACAGCTGTCGTATCTGTTATTTCCCACTTCAGGTTCCCAATCCTCGGTTCCCTTTCCTGGGATTCCATTTCACACCAAGAATGGATGGCAGTGTGTGGCTTGGCCCTAATGCAGTACTGGCCTTTAAGCGAGAGGGCTACAAATTGTTTGACTTCAGCACTGGAGACTTTTTAGATGCTGTAATGTACAGGTAACATCTCTTTGTCTGCTGCACGCAGCTCTTTCTTCAGCTTGTGCCTCCACGGAAGCTAGTTCTGGTCAAAAAGCCTCCTTTTGCCAAGTTTTTGGGGTGTTTAAAGTCAGTTATGCTGATAAGGGTGGACTTCTCTGAGACATTTGTCTTCATGGGATCTAATATTTGAATTTTCATCAACTACCAAGACGTGTCTCAGCTGGTCTGAGAATGTGGCAGCTCATCGGAAGGTACCAGCGAGCCGCGTTGCTGCTAGAGGAGCTCTTCCAGGACTGGTTTTGGTCCAATGCAGCGTATAATATTTTAATGAACCTGGACAGTTGATTGAGATACTTGCAGAGGATGCTTGGAAGAGTGGTCTGAAATGCCTTGTTAAACTTTGTCAGGCTGTCAGTATACATTTTAAGAATGTCCAAGTGCTAGGAAGTACGTTAAGGGCCGTGAACGCAGGTGGGGAAGCTGTCTGAGAAGGCGTGTCACAGGAGTTAAGAATCCGTGCTAAAAACTGCAAACACAAATGGACAGACTATCTCAAGTTGAGAGAAATCTTGCTTCTCTGTGAGGGGCTGGACAGACCATTACCAGGTGCCCAATTTTAGACATGTCTGTCTCCCCTCGAGCATGTGGGTTTTCAGTCTCTTGCCTGTTTGACTGGACCAGAGAAGATTCCTGGGCATAGGAAGGGCTGGAGTTGAGCGTTAAGTGCAAAGCCTTCGATCCCGCACAACATCCTTGTCTCTAAACTTGAGAGACATGGATTTGACAGATGGACCGCTCAGCGGGTAAGGAACTCGCTGGGTGGTCGCACTCAGAGAGTGGTGGTCAACGGCTCCATGTCCGAGTGGAGATCGGTGACGAGTGGCGTTCCTCAGGGGTCGGTGTTGGGACCTGTGCTGTTTAACATCTTTGTCGGTGACATGGATGATGGCATTGAGTGCCCCCTCAGCAAGTTTGCTGATGACACCAAGCTGTGTGGCGCGGTCGACACGCTGGAGGGAAGGGATGGCATCCAGAGGGACCGGGACAGGCTGGAGAGGTGGGACCGTGCCAACCTCATGGAGTTCAACAAGGCCAAGTGCAAGGTCCTGCACCTGCGTCGGGGCAGTCCCAAACATAAGGACAGGCTGGTGGAGAGTAGATTGGGAGCAGCC